GACTACAATGCATGAAGGAGATGTGTTGAAGCACAGGGCGGAAGTACTATGGTACTGTTGTACTGTGCATCACCACAGATGTCCCAGCAGGGTTAGGGCACTGAGAGTAAGGACTTAGCACAGAGAGAGGTTTAGGGAAAATGCCACTTTGAAGAGGGATACTGCCATCTAGGTTTCCACAAAACCCCACATGGTCCTGCTCTCCTAGGGCCACTTTGTAATTTGACATGAAACAAATTGGTGCAACAACAAAAGTTCTTGCAGGTGTTTCCATCTTGTCTGACTTATATAGTTGGCATGGCGATCGCTCACAATGATTATAACGGCTTCAATATTCTGTGACGGGGGTATTCTGTATGAACGACTACACTAATCACGCGGTCTTTGTGTTTTCTGCCTGGAAGCATGGCAACGCTAGTAAAGAAACAACGATGCAGGGCTGGAGAGAAGGCTCAGCTCTTGCCGACACTTGCTCTTCTTACAAAGAAACCAGAGATCGACTCCCAGTACCCACGTCTGGCAGACGGCAGCTATTTGTAACTCCAGCTCTAAGACATAGCATTCTGACATAGCATTCTGGCCTCCAGGGGTACCAACACGTATGTGACATATATTCACAAGGATGCACACACACGCACGCACACACACACACACACGCACGTGCACACGCACACACGTGCACACGCATGCAAAGAAAAGAAATCGAAATCTAAAAAATTATGGCTTTAAATGGAGATATGATAAATTTATAATACAGTGAAGATAGGAAAGGTGTGGGTGACTTGCATTTTTTGGGAGGCAGAAGCAAGGGGATCTCTGTGAGCTAGAAGTGAGCGGATCTATGTATCGATTTTCAGACCAATCAGAGCTATATAATGAGACCAATTCAACAAAAAGAAAAGAGAATGAAAAGAAAAAGAAAGAGAGAGAGCGCTTTAAAATACTTTACTTGAAAAAGATTTTTTTTGGAGTCCACAAAAATCACTATTTTCCTGGTCATGACAGCTGCTCTTCATGTCCTGGTCAGTTAGTTCAGTTGGTTAGAGCACAGAGCTAACAATGCCATGATTTCAAGTTTGATCTCCTATGAGCTACTTGGTGGTGGTGACTCCAAACAGAAGCTCCACTAACACACTTTCTGGGTGGTAGAGCTCAAAAGACCTTAAAAAATGTCCATAGTGTCCTGGTTGGTGAGTCTCAAAAGACCTTAAGAGATGTCCATGCTGTCCCTAGGCTTTCCTTCATTCAACCCACCAAGTCTCTGTGAATAGGCAGCTCAGTATTTAAGAGCACTGGCTGCTCTTGCAGAAGGCTGAGTTCAGTGATCAGCACCCACACTGAGGCTCCCAATCACCTACAACTCCAGAACCAGGGGATCTGATGCTCTCATCTGTCCTCCATGGGCTCTGGGAAGTATGTGGTACACATAAACTCACACATACATACACAAGTACATACATACATACATATGTACATACATACATACATACATACATATGTACACACAATTAAAGAAATTGTGTATATGTTATTATATGTGTGTGCATGTATGTGTTATTTCTAAGGGGATGGAGAGATGGATCAGCAGTTAAGAGCACATACTACTCCTCCAGAAGTCCCAAGTTCAGATCCCAGCAGTCAGGCAGCCTACAGCCACCTCTAACTGCAGGGGGTTTGTCACCCTCTTCTGGCCTCTGTGGGCACTGCACGCATGTGCCAATACCCACACACAGGCACACATATACAGACAATGGTCTTAAAGAGTAAATATAAATCTTTTTTTAAAGCTATTCTTGTGTGTAACAATTATGTTTACTTAAACCATTTACAAAGTTGGCTCCATCCATCTCTTGACAATATCATAAGCAGGAACATCTTGGGTGCTTATCAAAATAAATAAATAATTTAAAAAATGGGAGACTTTGGCTATAGATTTTCTAAGATATTGGTTTTATATTTCTACAATTATTCTAAAATGAGTTAAAATTATACCTTGCATTTACTTTTTGGTTACTAGTAATATGCTAGCTGAAGAGTCTTTGCATCCTGAAAATGCTGAGGGATTTATTTAGTCTGCAGTTTAAGAAAATAATTTTATTGGCATACACTTTCTAAATTTTCATAAAATAATTATGCACCATCCAGCCAAGTAATTTAAAGAAAATATAATACGATGTACATTAGACCATGAATTTTACTTTGAGGAAATGTTTTAATGTTTTTTTAAGTTACATATGCCTATCAAGTTTACATTTTTATTGATTACCTGTATATTTAATAAACAAAATATTTTCTTATTCTGCTAAATGATTGTTTGTAAGAAGCAGAGCAGATTTTTGTTTAGTTCTTTCAGGTGTAGAGTAGGCATTGCTGTTCTTTCTAAAGACTGAAGTGAGGTCAAATGAGAGAAGTGAAAAATTCTCACTTTGGTGGTTTATACCATGTTGGAAGGTTTTATTGGCTTGTTTTATTATATTTTTTTCTAAACCAATAACACTTGTCTTCCTTCCTTTTCCTACCATATACTTGTATAATGCCTCATGTGTTTTTTAACTTTCTCTCATAGATCTGTTTGTATCATCGGAAACAGGCTGTAAAGCCATTAAAAGAAATTGGCACTTTTGTATAATTGGTATACATCTCATAATAGCAAGAAAAACGGAAGGAAAATTCAAAAACCGACTTAAAAATGAGCATGTGTAAAATGGCAAAAGGTTAAGTTCCTGCCTGTGTATATAAATTTGAGATTGTTCTTCTACTTAAAAATCTTTAAGTTGAAATAGTTTCTATTCTTCCAGGCGGAAAATTCATGAGCCTAGGCACAAAGGAGCTTTCCTTTTCCTGCTTTGGCAGCTACAGAATCTCAAATGAGATTCCATTAGAGGGTTTAGAAAAAAAGATGAAATAATTATGGGGGGGAACACTTGGCAGCCTGTCTGTGACCAGCAAAACAGATGTAAATGTACAAATGTAAAGTATGCAATTACAAATAAGAAGTATTGATATCAAATGCAGATTGAGAGAGATGAGAGGTACATGGACAGTAAAGATAGATAGATAGATAGATAGATAGATAGATAGATAGATAGATAGATAGATAGATAGA